CCTCTCTCGTTCCCTTTCCCGACGACGACGTTCCTTTTCCCGATCTTCCCAGTCTTCCCTATCCCTGTCTCTTTCTCTGTGGTTACTATGCTCACGATGACGTTCCTTTTCCCTCTTTAGAGTAAGCAAGGGGTCTTCAGAACGAGATCTCATGTCTTTGTCAGTTTCACTTTGCAAACGACTTTTTTCAGACCTTGTCCTAGATCTTGCCCTCTCTCGATCCTTGGTGTCATTTCTTTCATTGTCAGAATGTCCAGAGCTCTTGGACCTCTGTCGGCTGCTCCTCCTCTTTTTTCTTTCCGCGTCTCTTTTTATTTTGCTGGAATCAGAATAGTAATCTCCCTCGGAGACGTCAGTATCATCTAGACAGGGCTTGTCCAGACTTCTGTTGCTTTCTCTATGGGATTGTCTGATGATAAAAGGCGACTTGTTGACCTTCCTCTCTTCAATTTTCTCAGTTTTTAAAATGGATTTAACTTCTTTATTTGGACTCTCATCTTTGTAAGCCCCATTGGAGAAGCCGTTGGTGTAGGGAGCATCTCGACTGTCAATACTGCTCATATCTTGACTGTGAGAGTAATGGCGGGACTGGAATGTGGTTCGAGAACGGCCATCTGCAAGAGACAAACCAAACGTTAATTATCACAGACCCATTCTATAGTGGTAGAACAAAGGGTATTGATCAATTAATTTGTTCATCTGTGATGCACTTGAATTTTTAGTTGTAGTATCATCAATTATGTACACTAAAAACTTACTGGTAGAGCCACCTTTGGAGGACATTGCTATCTCATCGTCCTCTCGTCTAATCTTCTTTAGTCTAACAACCAGAAATATGATGATGAGGATAATAGCCAGAAGGACCACAGCAGCAGCAACCCCAATACCAGCAATTGCTCCATCTGTCAAGATTTCCTGACGGAAGTTAGACTCTGCTTGTTCAAATTCTACATCTGGACCTGAATTAAAAATCAATTGAATAACACTCATAAATTGTATTGTATTGTATATAATGAAACTCTAATGGAAAATGGGTATTAAGGATAAAAACTTCTTACAAGATCAAGCAATAATCAATAACCCCTTGTCTTTGTATCAAGAACTCAATTGGGTCTTTTCATCAAAATGACTAAATTGTATATTTCTGTCGCATACTACGACATCTCATTCTGTAGCATCCAACAATAAATGGAGAAAAACATTCACCCAGTTAGTTATAACTACAATGAATAAGTATGGCTCTAACACATCTCCTTGTGTGACCCCTTAAACAAAATAAAACTTAATCTTAAGAAAATGACATTGAATAGATGTGGTAAGCAGGGAAACATGTCTAACAATAAAGAATATTTCTGTTCACAGTTATAAACCAGGATGTGAGAAAGTGGGAGAAACATGCAATTAATGCGACAATAATGACAACTGTGGTTTTTAGTGCATTTTCAACAAGGAAGAAGAGTGCATACACATGGGATACAAAAATACAGAATTGCAAAAATACTAGTTTCCATAGTATCTTATAACAGTAGCCTACATTCAAATTCTTTAAAACTACACCTAATTTCATTAATTTCTTTTACTGATAAAAAAATAAGGCTATCAGCTACATCAAAAGATTAACATATGATGTACAATATATTCAAAATAAACATTAAAATATCAATTTCATGATAACAAGAAATTTTGGGGCAAATTGTATACCACAACATCAGGTGAGATATAATGATATACCACAATTAAGACTACAGTACAACTCCTGTATGACTCATTGTACAACAATCTTGAATGACATATCACCAAACATCAAGTGGAGTGTAATTTATTGTCTTGACAAGCAATTCAAGTATATCATATGAAACCTTTGCAATAAATTTATTTTTTTTCCATAGTTGCTGTGACCCAGTTGTTAAGATTGATAACACTATTTCTGAATTCAAATTTATCTGGCCTATTTATTCAAACTTATCAGAAAAATTATCAATTGGATAATATCATTTAAAAATTTAGTTCAAATTTTTCAAATTTACAACAAAAGACAGATTACTAACCTTGTGATGTTGTCAAGGCGAAACTGTATTTAAAATTTATAGATTGAGCTGACAGTTTCTCCAGTTTGATCAGAACCCGACTGTAGGCTGAGATAAACTTCTGTCCTGATTTGGTGTTACAATCTAATGTCCACTGCAAAAGAGAGAGAGGTGAATGGTTTCAGAATTACAATTGTGACAAAAATGTCCTTCTTTCAGATGGGAATCAATTATTCTTTAAAAGCCCCTGTAGGCCCCAGAAACCAACAGATTTCAGATGGCCATAAATAAATTTTGAGCATTTATAGGGCTTAATTTTCACTTCAAAATAAGACCTATCACAGGTCTCCCCCTAAATAGCTACTGATCCCACAATTTAAACATTGTATTAAACCAGTCATTTTGGCTCCATAAAGCTGTGCATAATACAACATGTTTACAAGATGTTTATCTAAAACACTTCTTTTGTTACATAATATTATTCATGTTTTTAATACCTCAAGACTAAATATGAAATGACAATGAAGAGGTGTGACAAGGCTTCTGCTCTACTTCTTACATCTTAAGAAATAACTTTATAAACTTATTGTTCATGTTTTGGCATATCATAACCAAAAAAAAATGTACTTTTCTGCTCAACCAACAATGTTGATACATAGGAAAATTTATCAAGTATAACACCATTTAACAGTATAACTTAAATTGGGTGATTCAACAAACAATTTACAAGTTCAAACATTCTTTTTCTGCCCTTTGATCATATCCCAAAAAATCAAATTACTACCTACACCAAGAATTTGAGGTAAAATAGAAAATATGAGAAAGATAGGTCATGAAGTGCACTATTCAGAGTTTCTCAATTTATGGTGAAATCTGCAAATTAAAAAAAGAATTTTATTGTTTTTCCTCATGGTTCCTTCACGATGATTATTGCTCATCATTTGAAAAGTTTTCAACCATGGATAACTAGAATACTCAAAATAAGAATTGCCCTGTAAGCATTATATTATGCAACCAACCCACAAAGAAAGATGGACAAAGAATGTGCTTACCCTTGGCTTCACCATCTGTTGTTCTGTATCGAAAATTTTAATAAAAGTTCCACAGTCATAAATAACAATATCTAGAATATAGATTCTAATACGTCTATTGTTATTGGTCACCAATTCCACAGTACATGAATCTCTAGTTCCCTCCCCTGATGGTAGTTGTGGTGGACGGGCGTACACCTGAACGACATCAGAATCTGTGATCTGAGTAGCTGTTTGTTCATCACAACCTCTACCTGCCATATCAACTGAAACACAAATAAAATGAGTACATGAAATATCCAACATGACTATACCTCCGAGTGGTTTTCAATTGTGAAAATTCAGTGTAAAAAATAAGGTCAACGGAGCACAAAATTAGGTTGGATTCAGGGAATGTCTGCTCCAGAAAATTTTATTGCATTTACCTCATTAATTATACTGTCTTGTTGAATTACCCTTTACCAATTACAATAAAATGTATTGATGGGTGGTATTACATCACCGCCTTGCCACCTGTAATACCACTCATCAAAACACTTTATTGCAACAGTAATATTATATTATGCAGTTATGTTTCACAGTAGAGTAAATTCTAAACAGTGTTATTAGAATTATTGGTAAGAAAGACAAAATTGCAAGGAATATAAAAGAAGTGACTGATAGTAGAGTTGGTAGAATGGAAGTTAATTATTTAGTTCCTGTCATGTGAAACTGATTTCAATTAGCAGTTTTATTAGTATAACTTGAAGTTAGAAAAAAATCAAAGAAGATATTTGGCTGCAGTTTTAGTAGGAGGGTAAGAAAGAGATCCTCGCAACAATCTTGGCACAAGGATGTCCTAGATTCTTAATACATAACATTGCTTCAAGGATATGCTAGCGCTACAGAGAGTTACATGAGTGACATGCACTCTTCTTGTTTTGGAAGAATGGTTGTAACATTGTTTAGAAAACAATTGGGTTAGAATAAATGTTAACTGAAGTTATTCAAGCAAGGCTTATGTTATGAATATATTTCAAAAGTGTATATATATTTACATGACTATGTTATGCAGAAATGAATCTTTTATGGCCTTTTAAGAAGATAATTTTAAATTTTCCTGAAGTTTATGTGTTGAAATATTCAGTTATGAGGAACTATCAACTTAATGTCATATGAATGTACCTGTATAACATGTAATAAATATTTTGACAGTTTGTAATCAAGTCATCTGTCAGGTGTCAAATATATCAATATTTTGATATTTATCCTTTAATCTAACCTTGACTTTGGCAAATTATGTAACAAGTGCAAAATTATTGATAATAATTTCCATTTTTTCTTGAAAGAATTTGTTTTTACAGCATAGAGCAATGTGATATTATATTGTCCATTTCAATTGGAATTCTGAAAAATCACTTAAGATTTTTATCTGTATCAAATGTACAGATAACACTGTTGGTAAATACATTTTGTGGTTTCCAAGATACTGAAAAGTTAATATATTTGATTGTACTAGAATATGACATACCTGATGTAAGCTTAGACGTATTTCAAACATTACAATCTATGATATTCCGTGATCACTGCAACATGACACAAATACAATCCATTCAAAATACCACCTAATTATTTTAGCCTAAGTAGCCGAACACATTTCATATATCCACTGTGTTAGATCTTTCTTGGTAAATGACTGTCATTAAATAAATACTGTTTTATTATATACATACATGTATATCCTGTCAAATTGTAACTGGACTTGCCCCCTTATGGACCTGGGCACAATCATGTCAAAGGTACACACCATCATCAAAGTCTTAACAAGGAGAAACATGTCAATATCCAGACCCATATTTCATCTTGGATTAAATGAAAGCATGTTAACCTTTCTGTTTTTGTCTAATCTGTGACAAATTATGATATTAACCAGAGGAGAAAAGTTCATCTGGTCTAGTCAGACTACCTTTAATGAAATCTTCATTTGTTTGTGATGTACAAAATCTCGGGAAATGAGTAATTTTTGTATGTGAAATGTTAAATTCTTTGAAGAAACCCATTGAACCAATGAATATTGTCAGTTCCATGAAATGTGCAGCCCATTCTCAACTGATTATCAACTGCTAAACCTGTATAAGACAATGATTTGTTATCATTCTTATCTGGTTATGAACCATATTGGTACAAATTGAAATCTCTTTCTAAATTATCCATACACCTGCTTATTTTTTTTAACGTCTTTGAAATAATTTAGATTAAGTCCCTCTAGCTATTTCCATCTATTTTAGATGTTATCAGCTGAAGTAACCAAATACAACTATTTTACTAATCACCAACTAATTACTACTTATCTTTTTTAAGTGTTTGATGAAAAGGCAATATTTGGAGCCAGATCGATGTGGCTTTTATACAGATAGAAATATAGAAGATTATATTAGCAAATTTCATGAATCCATTATTCTATGTTTATCTTAAACTTTGAATTTCATCCTAAAAACTGAATACATAAGTACAAACCTTTTGAAAGACTGGAAGCTAAATGATTGAACAATAGATGTCCATCATTTTGATTAAAATCAATGCCATTCTATCTAATGCTTTGATTAAAATTGTTCCTATTTCCAAAATTCAATAATACTACAAGTATGTGTACCAAATTGTATGACTTGATTGGCTCAGTGGTGGTTCAGTAAGCAAAACATATAGCTGCAATTTGTTTTGTTACAATCTCTACACACAATGATATGATCTATAAAACCAATTTAGTATAATTTAATGAGATTTTAAAGAGACTCATTTTAGTGCTGATAAACATTTTCATCTCCAATTTGCACCATTAAAAACACCTGCATGATGTTATACTTGTGTTTATAACTTGATATAAAAAAATAAGAAATTAACTTGCTGTGAATTAGAACAAAGCAAAAGGGAAATGTTACTGTCACCATAACATATTATTCAGATTCTAACAAGTTTTAAACAAACTAGGTATTAAGTATGTTATTTGTAGGCCTGCTCATTAAACCTTTAATAATCCCTTTAAATCAATATTTATAATCAATAAATTGTCTTGTTTGTGTGTGTTTAAAAATAGTCTAATTTAATATGCAAAACAATCTTAGGTTTTAATCAGCAGTAGGCTACTTAGTCATTCTAGAAATGATGTATGTACAATAAATGCAATCTTCTTTCTTTGGCAGGTGAATAAACCTAAAACACACAGTAGAATTCAATGGCCTGATTCCAGAATCAGAAGATCTCAAGTGATTAGGCAGGCATAGGAGTTTCTGCCTGATGTCAAGGAAGCATAGGAGAAGAGGTATTCCCTAGTTTTTGGTTTGCTTTTTTGCCTAGATAGAAGCCTTTCTGTCTGATGGCAAGGAAGCATAGGAATAGAGGTATTATAGTGGTTTTTTGTTTACTTTTTTAGCTGGATAGAAGCGTTTCTGTCTGATGGCAAAGGAAGCAAAGGAAGCAAAGAAAAACAGGTCTTCTCAAGTTTTTGGTTTGCCTTTTTGGTTGAATAGAAATCTTTCTGTCTTGTAGCAAGAAAACAAAGCATGACCTTAACTAAAACTATAGTAATCTTTGATATTTTCTACAAATGCTTCAAGTGACAGTCTGTATTTGTGAACAATATCTTAAACAAATACACTGACCACAAGCATTCTTGACCTCGCCTTTCTGTGACCTCTACATGTCCTTAAACACCCAACTTGGTCAGCAGGCCAGTGGCTATTTAATGACCACTGCAACTTTATTGTCACTAATGGGCCATAAAAGTTTATCATTATACCATATGGAAATTGTAACCTGATTAAATGGATTGAAAGTCAGTTATTCATTGATTTGAAGAGATTGCCACCCTCATGAATATGCATATGTCATCTTCATAAACTTAAATTCCTGATCATAAATAAATTGATGAATAGTTTATGAGAAGGTATCCTTTGTATGCTTATATATTATACACATAACCTCTATCAATTTGTACTAAGATCTGAAATATTCCATATTTTTCCTGCCAAAAATATTGATCCTCTTAAGCCCCTATGTCCCATGACTTGAGTCTTAAAAGTAATTTATATGTATAAACTAACTTCTGCATTATCCCCCAAAAATCAAGTATCATCAAGAGAAAGTCCAAATATTGTTAATATACCACTACATAGGTGAAGGGAAAATTACATAATGGAAAAATACATTTGACTATAAAAACACAATAATGAGATCCTGGTGTAAAATAGTAAATTAGTCAATGTGAAGGTATTTGGGTGACGAATAGTAAGATTAGACTGACTTTAAGTAGCAGGTAAAATACTCGACCTTTGATCTTTACTGGGTGGGTCTAACTGTTCACCTGATTCGCAAAATTAACAGTGCACAGTTATGTAGCTGGTTACACAATATTAGAAATGGGTAAGAAATAAAGAATAGTTCTAATTACTTGATTTAAGGGAAAATTTAGGTGTAAATTCGATACATGCAGCTAAAAATTATCAAGGAGGGGATAGCCAATCTCAATCTGCCTAAATATCACTTTTAAGATACACCGTTTTAATATTACAAAATTTATCCGTTATCAGAATGATTCTCAGAACAGAACAGATTAATTTTGTGTAATGTAAACGGCTGAGCTTTCTGAGATCTGAATCTGGTCCACCTGAGGGGAGGTAGTCTAGAAACAGGTCTCAGAACGGACTTGATAAATTGGTGTAGTGTACACGGTAATCGTTTCGAGAACACTTTACTATCTACACTTTTTCCTGCGGAATTTCATCATTATTCAGTCATTATACAACTCAATAACTGTTCTCAGACCACTGGAGTTTTTACTGTAATGTAAATGGCCACATTTTATTGCAGGCTGGTCTGTAGCGAGGACCATTTTTGTGGCCTGGTGTAAAAGGGCTATTGCTTTACCTATAGTCTAATTAAATATATGGCTTTAATTATCATTATGCATTATTTTAGAAATACTCTCCCTCTAAAAAAAATTTTCTGCATACACAAGAGTTATTCTTTAGTCCTATGGAACTTTTAAATCATTTTCCAAAAATCATTTTGCCACATATTTTTCTCTTCTGATACATTCAATATGTAGAATAAAGTAGTAGAGTTTGGTGAGTTCACCTTTAGTTACTATAGTTCAAATGAACACAACAAAGACCAATAGATCTTAACTGCTGACCCCAATCAAAAAGTATGTCAACTTATAAAAAAAACGCAGATGTTAACTAGAGCATGGAAATAGGGAAAAACATTCATGCAAGATATGACATTAACA